GCAGTCAACACAGTCGAGGATCAGGTTGTCATGACAGCAGAACTTAACCTTCAATAAAATTCCACTTTAAATCTAGACGTCTTTGTTTGAATGACCAAAAACTGAAGGTAAACTTCGTCCGCTGTCTTATTTCACAAAAACATCAGCAATGTTTCCACGGCAAAAATGTTTCCGGTATATTTGTGACATTTAGACCCGATAAATGACCAATACTGGGTGTCTAGAACTGTCAGGTCTGGATATCGTTTGATTTTGTTTTAAAATCCGGTTTCATAAAGACTCTCGATGAAGAGGCCGTTAAGACCATAAAAAACAGCAAGTCTGCCTCTCACAGTGGAAGGTACCATATTTACGCCTGCGACGTCTCTCTTTATATGAATGGCCTAGCCAGTGGGGAGAACAGCTGTGTGGTGTGTGTGTGTGTGTGTGTGTGTGTGTGTGTGTGTGTGTGTGTGTGTGGTGTGTGTGTGTGTGTGTGTGTGGTGTGCGTCTGAATATGTGTGTTTGTGGAGCTCCTGCTCTGCCGTGCTCTCTGAAACCCAAGTTTTAAGAAGCAGGTTTAACGTTAAAGTCACGACAGAGGATGAAAAGGTTTGAAAGGAAGAGTTAAAGCGAGTTTGAGCAGTGCAAGGAGAGAGTAAGCCACTGTGGAGCAAAGAAAGGAACCAGGGAGCTGTTGAACCTGGCTGTAAAGTCAGAAGAAGACAGCAGAGGCGGCGTAAGTACACTACAAAATAAAGACTGAAGTCGTTTGAAGAGGCCCTGAGGAGGATCAAGTAGACTAAGGTAGCTCCAGTGGTAGTAAGTCAGCTGAAGCAGCAAACACGGGAGAGGTAGGTCAAACAAAGAAGTGATAGGAGAGACATGAACAGCAGCCACACAGAGTTTAAGCAGCAGCAGGTCAGATGAAGATGTAGTGAAGACATTAAACGTGCAGTACAGGTTGACATGAGAGCAGAGAGAGACGGGTGTAGAGAGAAGCTGGGAGAGACTGTGAAGATGATACAAATAAATTAATCAGCTGACAGTAAAAAGGCAGTGTTGTAAAGTTTATGTGGAAGTGAGCGTAAATAAAGTTCCTGAATCTGTTTGTGTTTCAGATGTTCCTGATGATGATGATTAGAGCAGATGCACAGTGAAGTGTCCGCGGTGTGCTCAGGTACTGTGGGCTCTCTGTGTGACTCATAGACTTCAGGTAATCTGTGCGCTGACTGAGGTCCAACCAGCTCTCAGACCAGAAGCTTCTGGATTTATAGAGTCTGTTTATATGAGAGAGGTCAGGTGAGCGTCACACTGGAGATCAGCTGCTGTGTTTCACTCTGACTACCAGCTGTAGTGCGTCTGTTGTTTTCCTCTTGAAGGGAAACAGACACACCTGGAGGCCGTCAAGTCAGCTGGAGACGACTGAACGCCTTCTCTCTCTGATGTTTGATCGACTGACTGAGTGAAGAAGGAGCTCATACATCGAAGACAGACGCATCTTTAAAAGGATGGTCTTTCTGTTTAAGCTTTCACATCTTTTAACCTGAAAACAAACGTTTGTGAAAGAGGAGGTTGGACATCCTCCGTATCCGATGCTGGCCCGTGGAGTTTGTGTTCTCACACATGGAGATGAGATGACCTCAGTAACCTGCTGAGAGCCAGACAAAGTCAGGGATTCATCACAGCTCCATCTAGTGGACAGTCAGTCCTCGTCTCCAAGCGTCCTCTGATATCACCGTCTCCTCTGTGATGTAATCGTTGACCTACTTTGTGACCTGTGAATATGACGGACGCTCTGAGGATGTTATACGCCGCTCTGATGGTGGTGTCCGGCATGGCTTCAGTCTGTGGAACCTCCTCCTCCTGCTGGTTCTCCTCCTGAATAAGGAGCTGCGTACGGACGCGCTGGGCCTCACTCTGAGCTTCAGCCTCAGCGACCTGGCTCTCGGACTCTCCATCATCCCGTTCGGGGTCTACAACAGTCTGTCCTGGTCTTCGTGTTTTGCCAGCGAGGGCGCCCTCTGTCAGGGAAGCGGCTTCATCTTCCTTCTCCTGCAGACCTCCTCCATGCACTCGCTCACCTGGGCCACCGTCAACAAATTCACTGAGATCTGCTTCGCCCAGCTACAGCCGCGTGTGGACGGGGGGCGGAGTCGAGCCATGCTGGTCCTGGTCTGGCTCTTCTGTCTGGTAACCGCCGCCCTCCCCCTGCTGGGCTTCGGCAGCTACGTCTACAGCGAATCTCGCTTCCTGTGTTGCCCCAACTTTACACCTGAGGACAGGTGCTTTGTCCTGCTGTGGATGCTGGCAGGCATCGTGGCGCCAATCATCACCATGTGCTCTCTGTACGGGTACATCGTCTACGTGGCCACGAAGCAGGCCAGGAGGGGGACGTTCATGTGCAACGAGCTGCACTGCTACTACGTTCCTGCTAACAACTACCTGAGGAGCTCCGTCGTCATGGTCACCACTTCAGGTGAGCTCACACAGAAACCGAAACGTCTCAGAGGATTCAACACGTGTCTGTACGAAACGTCAAATCTGTGTAAAATGTTGTAACGTTTAAAGATTTATTTTTGGGCTTTTTGTGCCTTTAATGGAGAGATAGGACAGTGGATAGAGTCAGGGAGATCAGGGAGAGAGAGAGAGAGTGGGGAATGATATGCAGGAAAGGAGCCACAGGCTGGATTTGAACCTGGCTGCCCGCTTGGAGTACTATGGCCTCCATACATGGGGTGTGCGCACTAACCACTGCGCCACCAGTGCCCCTATAATGTCACTTTTTAACTCATTAAAAGCTGAATAACTTCAAACATCTTTGTTTTGTTCTCCCCGATTTAAAAATGTAAGATGTGACAAATTAAGAGTTTACACCGACCCCTTCATGTTTTCAGACATCCTTAACATTAGTGTGTTTGTAGCTGTGATTTAGATTTGAGCTTCATAAAAATCTTCATTTAAAGAATCAAGATGTCTTCGTGTGTGCAGAGGAAACTCTGGAACACCGCAGGATTCAAATCAGGGACAGGAGCCACAAACTGTTTCAAACGCCTGATGGGTTTACCGTTAATCTGTCAGGATTACTGCCAAACTGTCAGTGTGCAAACACGGTGAACACGCTCGTAAAACACACACAAATACACACACGGTGGAACCGTTGCCATGACAACAGGAAGAGAGAGACATGATGTGTGTGAGAGAAACTCTGAGCTACAGAATGAGCCGATGAGCAGAAGGACATCTGAAGGTCACTCTGATTGTCTCTGAGGTTCAGCTTCTATATTTACAGCCATGATTCACTGTCATTAGGCTCAATTTGGTCATTTTTGATGTCATAACCACGGGGAGGGTTGAAGGTCTCTGCCGCAGCTTTTAGACGGAGTAGCACAGGCGACAGGAGTGAGGTTTTTACCATTAGAGTCACTTAATTCAATCTTGTTTCAAAGAAGTCAGAATGTTTCTGTCTGTTCAGTGGACGGCTACAAGAACTACAATACCCATGATCCTTAGCTGCTTCTAGTCCAAGAGAAGTCTGCTGCAAGTTTTAAGACCTTGAAAGTTGATCTCCCCAATTTGTCCTCAGACTTCAGCAACTTGTTAAAAGTTTCAAAGACTAAGCTAGTCCCACCTCTGCAGCAACTAGTCCCCAAAACTCAGCAACTCATCTGGCAACTAGCTGTCAGACCTTCCACACCAGTACTCAAACCTCAATAGCTGGTTTATAGATCTTTGTAACTTGTTGATGTAACTCGTCAGATGAGACCATCTCATCTCTGAACGTGTGCAGGTCGGTCCTCAGGTTGTTCTGACAGCGTGGTCATGTATACCCGTGTGTGTGCTCACAGTCTGCTGTGTGTGTGTTTCAGTGTGTTTGTTGGTGTGCTGGTTGCCCTACATCTCAGTGTGTCTGTACGAGACATTCAGTGGTGAACAGAGTCCTGCTGTGACCTCTGCCCTCTCCGCCTGGCTGGTTCTGACCAGCTCCGCCCTCAACCCTTGGATCACCTGTATGACCCAGACGTAAGTGACACCTGTAGGACATCACAGCTCAAGTAAGAGATGTAGAGCAGGAGTAAAACAGAAACTTCTATCTCCAGCAGGTACCGGGCAGCCGTGCGTCGCCTTATCAGCAGATTTATTTCAATGTTCCTGTGTTCTGAGACACCTCTGGAGTCCCGCCCCCAGAGCGCCGCCCTCCACCTGGACACAGCCAATCGCATCAGCACAACCACGAGGACTACAGCAGCATCCTGCCCGCCATCCTCACCAGAAACTACAACACCACCGTGATCACCGGATGTGAGCTCAACCTCCTCATCATCACTTAGCCCACAGACAGAGACTATCCCCAGACCCACCTGTGACAGACACACCTGTGATGCACTGCAGTATGGGAAATGTAGTTCAGCTTTTCCATTTCTATTTTCATATGACCTAAATACATTCCACCTATCGCAGAGCTTTCATTCACAGCGATTTTTGGAAGCAGAAACGCTATCTCCAAGAGTCAGGGTGAAATATTTTAAATGTCACTGTGACACATATATCCGACGGTTCGGACTCCACATGAAGATGGTTTGTTTTTCTATGTGACATTTTTGTGGGAGGATTTAACGAGTCGGCAAAAAGAGTGTTTCAGTCAAAGTGTTTCCGATGTTTCATTCAAAGAGCTGGACTTCAGGCTGTAAAATAATAATATCATAATAAAGACGTCGTGTTCAGAGACTCTGCCTCAATGATCTTCTTTGTTTTCATCAGCAGAACTACTACGCACCAGTTTAACATCTGTATCAGCCGATATCCGCCCTGTAGACTAACATCAGATCATTGGAGAATAATGCGGGGTGATCTGATGATTATTTTTGTGGCAAAGATGATTTAATTCTTTACTTATTTTACACACATTGGCCTAAAACACACACACATCATGCACACAGGACCTGTGGACATGCATTAATTCAGAGATGTCACAGTGGAGCTGCACGCCAGAGCTGTTGGGGTTTGGTGCCTTGCTCAATGGCGGCTCGGCAGTACTCGGGAGACGCCCTGACAGCGTTCCAGCCACCAGACCAAGTATTTTGGGACTTGAATCAGCACCCCTCCGGTTCCTATCCCAGGTCCCTACAGACTCAGCTACTGTTTGATGCTGACCTCTAGTTCCCCTAACGACTGATTCAGAGAAGAGGTTTTCTATCAGATGAAGTCCCCTGTTGGAAAAACTCTGACTCATTCTTGTGTCAAACATGAGAGAACGTGGTGCATTGTGGGAGTCAGGAAACTAACACCGGTATCAGATTTCCCCGATCTGTGCATATTTATAAAAACCCAAACCTTACCAGGTGTCACATACACCTGACGAGTCTGGTCAGCAACTTCATTAAAAGCAGATCAGGCTTTTGTGGGCGGCCTGGGCTCAAATCCAGCCTGTGGCTCCTTTCCCGCATGTCATTCCACTCTCTCTCTCCCTGATTTCCGACTCTATCCACAGTCCTATCTCTACTATAAAGGCACAAAAATCCCAAAAATAAATCTTAAAAAAAAAAGGAGCACATCAGGCTTTGTAGATATTTTTGGCTTTTCTTCCTGTAATCTGAAGTTTCTCTGGACTTGTGACTCGTCAGGTGAGTGTGACTTATACTAAAGGTAATGCGATATTTCTGACTGGACAAATCCAGCTGGTGAGCTTTGAGGTTTTACAGCGAACTCTTCTTTCATAAAGAACAAATGCTGCAGACTGGATGATGTAAGGAGTAAACATCTCGTGAACCTCAGCAGGTATGGTGGAGCTGCTGTTTCAACATGAACTCACCTGTGCTCAGGTTTGATGTCTGCACCAACAAACTTCCACCTGAATATCTGTAACCTCAGCTGCTGCTCTTATAGAGTTGAACCAGCACAGCTCTCTGTCTCCCCCTGTTGGTGTCTCTGCAGCATGACGCTCACAATTAGTTTCTTTAAGTATGATTTCACTGTACCTGCTTATTTTAACGAAGCCCTCTTTAAGTGTGGAAGTGTAATTTAAACACAGCAGCAGTTATCATAACATCGACCAATCAGCAGCTTCAAACCACCACAGTGTTCTTACCTGGTTCACGACCTCGAAGTAAAGAGCCAGCGTGGTGCTGGGATCCAGACCGCAGATCTTCCACTGACTCGTTCCTCCTGTGCCGATCTCCTGAAACACAGAAGAAGAAGTGTCGTACAACACCGGGGTCCAAGGTTAGTGATTCTTTTTAATATCACGTCTCTAAAAACAGTCTAGGCAACGTGCCGGAGTTTTTCTTTTAATTTTTACTATAAATGATCTCATATCAGGCGTCTAAGACTTCAAACAGGAATCTATAGAGTTTGATTTTACTAGAATCATATCAAGGTTCAAATTCTCTGGTGTGTGTGTGTGTGTGTGTGTGTGTGTGTGCATGCGTGTGGGTCTATGTGCGTGTGTGTGCATACATGCGTGTGTGTGCATACATGCGTGTGTGTGTGTGTGTGTGCGGTGCTTACGTTCTCAGACACACATGGTCCTTTAGCGCTCAGAGACACACAGGGTCCGATGGCTCCTGATACTTTGATCTCTCTGGAGGTCTGATTAAAAACACACACACACAACAGTGAGATCATTCACCTGTCAGACAGGTGAGCCAGGTGGGCCTGTGGGTGTTAGTAAGACAGTTCACCTGAGGACACACAGTGTCAGTGCGGCACATTTAAACTTCTGATAACAAAAGGATCAAAAGAAGTAAAGTCAAAATCAAAGTAAAGACGACAGGAATGGATCTAAGCCTGCCAGCGCCCTCTGGTGGACACACCTGCTTCTAAACGATCTCTCTATGAAACATTCAGTCATTGATCAGGTGATCAGCTGATTTAGTACCTTGACCTCCAGCGTGGCCGCGAAGGCCATCTTAAAGGAGCCCTGCACGTCTTTGGTGAAAACTCTCTGGAAGGTTTGTTTGAACAGAGACGTGTTGAAGGAGTCGGCCATCACCATGTAACCTCTGCAGAGAGCGCAAGACACAAACACACAATCACGTCAGGTGAAGACACGTTCAGTCTTAACATTTCTCTTTTCAACATGCTGAAAATACTTCAACACTTTACTTTAAAGCCTCTTCAAAGCGTGTGGTGTGTGTGTGTGCATGTTTGTGTACCCTGTATGGTTGGAGCAGCACTTCATCTCCAGCAGGCCGGTCTGATCGAGAGCGCAGGCGTAGATGTCGATGATGTGACCGTTAGTGGACGCTCTGTTAGCTAGAGACTCATAATGCTACCACACACACACACACACACACACACACACACACACACACACACACACACACACACACACACACACACACACACACACACACACACACACACACACACACACACACACACACACACACACACACACACACACACACACACACACACACACACACACACACAATTTCAGTGTCCTGTTATTCCGGCTTCATGCAAGCCGACAGATTTCAGCGACTTCTCTCTCACCTTGGTGGCTTTCTTCATGAACTTGGCGTTGTCCTTCTCGAGGTCATGCCAGGACCTGATGGGGGTCTTCAGTTCATCTCCCACTACCATGCCGGGCCCCTGCGTGGCCGGGCCGCCGATGAACGTCATGATGCGAGCGCCCGTGTTTGGAAATGTGCACTGAGGGGTAGAGTGGGAGAGCAGGGAGAGAGAGAGGGACATTACAGGAGTCAGAGGTCAGACGTGAATCTGGGCTGTCTGCTTTGAGGACGACAGTCTCTGTACATGGAACGAGCAACGCTCATGAATCTAAACCCCCTTACCTCCAGCAGCCCCACAGCGATGGACATGGCCACACCCAGCGAGCGCAGAGGCCTCTTCCCCTGTGTGACGGGCCAGGGGTCGCGCTGCAGCTCCCCCAACAGGTCAGTCAGGTTCATGTCGATCTTCTGCACCGGCTGAAGGAATCTGTAGAGAGAACAAACTCCAGACCGTGAGAGAGGACTCAGTCTCTGAGGAAAAAAAACTCAGATCCCAGATCATCACAGGAGCCAGATTCTGTAGTGTCACCAGGGTCCTCACAAGGATAGAGAGACATGTGTACCTGTTGGACAGGGGCTGGGGGGCAGCTTGAGGTCCTCGTCCCTGAGCAGCTGAAGGTTTCATCAGACCGAGCATCTCCTGAAAATCACAAACGAGTTGAAACTGTAAATTAAAAATATAAGTAACAGGAGCTGTTTTCACTAAACTCCTGAAAACTCCCCAAAAGTTCTGTAGTGAAACATTTCTGTGCATTGGTTCTGGTCTGGGTCTGGTACCTGCAACTGTTTGGCGTTGAGGTCTTTGGTCCCTCTGAACACGTAGCTCTTGGAGATCCCCTCACAGCCGAGCTCATGGACCTGAACCATGCGTCCGAAGGTGATGAGGCCGACGAGCGCCGTGGGAGGCAGCAGGGACAGAGACATCTGCAGGGACTCCTTCAGGGCCTGCAGGTCCTCGTCCTCCATACAGGTGTCCACCACGTACAAGAAGACCAGCGGCATCTGAGGACCCCGCTGAGGACACACACACACCACAGTGAGTTACACTTACTGTGGTATGTGTATGTGTTCCTGTTTGTTGGTGTGTAGCTGTCATTAGGTCTTACCTGGACCACGTACTCGATGGTGGAGAACTGAGGCAGCAGCTCTGCTGGTTGGTTCACCTCAGAGATCCCGGCGTAGGACGGAGGAAACTGAAACACAAACACACACTCTGATACTAACCCAGGGTGTGTAAACATTGTGATACTTTGATATGAGCTCTGTGTGTGTGTGTGTGTGTGTGTGTGTATACCTGGTTCCTCTGGTAGCAGAAGTTACACGCCCACAGTTTGGCTCTGTAGTCCACCTGACTGTAACACACACACACAGGTGAAAATGAGACAGGTGAGTAACCTTATAACCTTTTTCTGCCCGTGTCTATGACATCACCAGGTGTGTGCAGTGATGCGTACCATAGCGGGTTGAGCACCGCACGGCAGGTGGCCCGGCTGCAGAGGACTGGTTCGTACTGGATCGGGGGCAGGTCTGGTCTCTCCTTCAGCGGCGTGAACAGAGACGCCACAGGGACCACCATCCGGGTCGCCTCCAGTCGGGACGAAGGCCACACGTTCCAGCTGAACCGCACACCGTCACGCTCCTCGTTCGAAGCGATGTACTCTGGGAAGGTCGCCATGACAACGCTGGGAGACGGGGGGGTTCGGACACACTATCAGGAAATAGCTGCAGGAAAGGGGGGGCCAGTGGGGGACAAGGTCAGACTCCTGCAGAAACTCTCTGTGACACTAGCGCTCTCTCTCTCTCTCTCTCTGAGAGAATCATGACCTCAGACTAAACTGCAAACTAAACCTCAATCCTGCTGATTTCACACCAACAGTACCTGCTGCTGGGTTCCTGTCTGCAGAGCAGCGTTTTAAAGAAGTTCAGATATATAATGTTGAACACACTTAAAGCATTAAAGAATTAAAGGATGGATAAGGTAGAAAGATGAGCGCTGCTTTAAAATACGTCAGACTTTGCACAGGGTTTGGTTGGTGGTCTGTCAGCTGGGTGGGGCTCATCTAGAGGAGGTGGAGTCGCGTTTCTCTGATCCTGGATGCAGCTCTGAGTGAACCCTGAAAACCTCCATCAGGATATTTAGTAATCAAATCTTTCTTATCAGATTCAGTCTGATCAAAACTCAAACAGCTCTCCATCATCACTGCGTCTCCTCTGAGAACCGCCAACCAAACCCCGTTCAATTTTCTGCACATTTACAGAAACTCATCAGCTGTTATTAACTCATTATCAGAAATCTGAAGGTTAAAGTGACACTGATCATTTAAAGGGACAGGACCACTAATGTTTCAACCTCAGGTACCTCACAGGACACCTGCACGTCACTGTAGAGCTGCAGTAAATGAATAAAGATGACCTCACACATGGAATTAACAAATCTTGTTTTAGTAGACAGAATGACGTCATCAGTCATAATCAATCAGAGCTGCTCGTTAATCAGATGACTGTTAATCTTTAACTTTGACATTTAAAGTCCAGCCTGCTCTTTTCCCTGCGACACTCTGACGTCAGCAGGTACATCTCTGACACACACAGGTAAGGTGAACATGTGTCAGAGTCTCACTTGAACCTGAAGTTTTATTTTTTTTTAACTCCGACATAAACAAAACAAACAGATTGTATCAGGTCAGTTAGCCTCGGAGCTAACAGCTGCTAACCGAGCAGATAAACTGCTGCGTCATGAACATCACACCGCCGACAGGTACAGGACGGACGGACAGGTGAGCTGACTGAGTCCAGGTGAAGTTGGAGGTGTGTCGGGTCCAGGTAAGTCTCTGTATGTAGGTAAATGTGTCACTCACCTCCGCTCTGCTGCCGCTGCTGCTCCTCTCTGCTGACAACGAAGCAAAACAACATGGCGGCGGCCCGGCGCCACGTCAAGACACAGACAGGAGAAACGCGAAGATGTCTCACTCCGAGCAAATATTCTGGAACTCTGCGCTGCTGAGGAATGTGACGCCGAGGTTTCTGTTTGTGAGGGACCAGGAGGACGGTTTTGTGTTATCTCTGAAGAAATGAGCTCAAACAGGATTGTTAGAAAGATCGGACCAAAGCTGTTTTGATTTCTGGCTCTTCTTAATTGAATCTTTACGTTCTTGATTTTGTCTCATTTTATGTACCTGAGGTTAAATTTATGAAAATCGTTTAAAACATTTTTATGTACCACCCACCAGTCTTATGATTAACTAACCCTTTTTCCTTCTTCATTTTGTTGCGAGCTGTTTGTATGTTTAACCTCTGCGATATTATTATGTTGTGTATGCTTTAAGTGTCAATAAAACATAAATAAATAAAGGCACCCGTTACATGCATTGTCATTTAATTTTTGATGTTCTACATTTAACGCTGTAAATTATAAACTGTATCTCCTGTATCCTCCTCCCCGTCTGACCGCCTCATTTATCTGAGTTTACCTGAGGTCAACATCATAATCTGTGAACACCTGTGAGGTGACACACATGAACGTCTGCAGATTAATTTTTCATTTCAGTGTGTCATCTCACCGTCAGAGGATCTTTGGCCGAGCCTCGCCCACTGCTCTTAAAAACTTTAAACAGAGAAACTTTCAAACTGCTGAAATATTTCAAATAAAGAAACTTAAACAATCCTGGAGTTTAAAATGAAAACACAGGAAGTCAAAGGCGTAAATTTGAGTCTGAAGTTATTAAATAAAGTTCCTTCTTATTTTGTTTTTGAAGTTTTTCTTTTTAAGTTCAGCTGAGCTTCACTCGAACATCTGTTTGAATAGAGGATCTGTGTAATAAAAACACATCAGGTTTAAAATGGTGCAATACAAATGTTTATTATATGACAAAAATACTGTCACTAACTAATGTTATCTTCATCACCATCATCATCATCATCGTCGTGGCATCTCCTTGTCCAATAGGGACAGACTCTCTGCTCTGTTTACATCTTATACACAAACATCTTTTACAGAATAAAGTTAACGAGGCCCCAAATAAAACAACCAGCTCCTCCTCCTCCTCCTCATTTAAAGGAGCAGTCCGGTATTCTTTTACCAGAAGAAGAAGCAGCAGCCTAAAATGTCATCCTGCTCCTTTAAATCATCGTTTCTCTGTTTCTGGTGTTTTTCAAAATCTTTATTTTCCTGTGAGAAGCAGCAGAAGACGACAACAACAAAAAGAATCAAACATCCCGCTTTTATTTCACCTCTCTACACTTCCTGTCCTCTCTTTCTCTCTCTCTCTCTCTCTCTCTCTCTCTCTCTCTCTCTCAGGCCCGCCCACCTCCACCTGGAGCTGTCAGGAGGCGGGGCTTTAATTTGTAGTTTTTACGTGTTAAGGCAGCTGGTTGGTCGGGGGTCACATGTTGTTGAATCCCATCATGCCTTTCATGTTTCCGGCGGCTCCCTGCTGGAACTGACGCATCATCGACTGAAGTCCCGCCATCCCGCCTTAAAGTGACCACACAGAGAAATGTATTCAGACAAACTCAGGGAGAACATCTCACCTGAACACAAACAGGTGTGCTGACAGGCTACCAGGGCTCACCCATGTGGTGCAGGACTCGAGGGTCCATCATCTTGGCCATCTGCTGGTTCAGTTTGGCCATCTGAGATGGGTTCACGTTCTTCGACATGTCACCTCCTGGAACACAAAACACACAAGAATTACACACACACACACGTTACATCGCCAGTTTCTGATTTTGCCTCGTTCTCTGTTTGTTTGTTCAACATGTGTAACCATGGCGACTGAACCAGTGTGTATTTAGTCGGAGGTGAAAAATGGCGTTCTGATATTTCTCCTTCTGCAGAAGTTTGAACACAATAAATGTTGTAAATGGTTGAAATACGATGATACCCAGCGGACCAATCACAGACGGCGGTCTTTCATTGGTCCGCTGGGTAGCATCATAGCGTCTTTTAATGTGAAGTAACATTTTTGAGGAGGTGCACGACAAGCGTACGTAGGTAGGCTCCTGGTGTCCCTGCAGTCAGCACACTACAAACTTAAGAGCTGAACCAGAAACAAAGACATCTTTGAAAGTGACTTACAACCTAACACAGGACAAGAAGCCAATCAGCGATGGCGGGATGGTGAAGGAGCGGGGAGAGGCGTGTTCGAGACATTACTCAGGGACTATAAGAGTCAGAGTAGTTTCATTCAGCTGGTTCGTTAGTTTAGATCCGTAATGTGACTAAAGTAAGAGAGGACATGAAGCAAGCCTTCAGAAGAGAAAAGGTTGGAGACCCGTCCAGATCTCAGTCCCTCAGGCCCTCAGCCCTCAGCCCCCCCCCCGTGTCTACCTTTAAAGAGTCCCTTGATGCCGCCCATCTTCTTCACCATCTGGGCGAACTTGGTGTACTGTGTGAGCAGCTCCTGGACGTCTCTGGTGGCGACCCCTGACCCCCGGGCGACCCTCTGGATCCTGTTGGGCTGCTTACTGAACAGTTTGGCTCCGTCTTTACTGTCGAGCTCTGAGAGGACGACACACACCATGAGGCGGGAAACACACGAACAGAGGCAGAGACCTTATATAGACCTGAACATGTCTGACAGCCAATGAAATGCTGCGGGACAATCATGGGTGTGTGTGTTACCCTGGTCGTTCATGCTGTCCATGATGGTCATCAGTTTCTTCAGTCTGGCCATCGACTCCTGTTCATTTCCTTTACTCATGAAGTCTGTGCCGAAGCCTGGAATCATCCCCTGAATGCACCACGAAGAGAGAGAGAGAGAGAGAGAGAGAGAGAGAGAGAGAGAGAGAGAGAGAGAGAGAGAGAGAGAGAGAGACAGAGAGAGAGAGAGACAGAGAGGGGGAGAGAGAGGTACAGAGAGAGAGAGAGGGGGGGGGAGAGAGGTACAGAGAGAGGGGGAGAGAGAGGTACAGAGAGAGACAGAGAGAGAGTCAGAAGTTAAAATAGAATCTTCCACCAGACTTTGAGTTTTGACTTGTGACTCGTCTGCTGACGTTTTTTGAAACAGTCTTTGAAAAATGTGTCAGAGCCTCAAGTTGCAAAGATCTTTGTATAGTCACCATCTTTGTAAGGTTGACATGATACCAGAGTTTAAACTCTAGTATGATTCAAGTAAAAATCAGTCAGTCAATATATTTTTGACCATTCAACAAATAAAAGTCCTACTCACCTGATACCGGGTCATTTATTGTTTTTAACAAACATTCATTGCATGCAAATCTGCACACGTTCTAAACTGCTCAACCCCACCAACATATAGCATGTAGCACACATCCTGTCAGATGACTCAGTCAGGTGATCTTACCATGATCTGTCCGAAGGGTCCCATCTTCATGATGTTCTGAAACTGTTCGTACATGTCTCTGAGGGTGAACTGACCTGCAGGTCAAAGGTCACAGGACACATGTAGATATTAGTGCTGTAAATATGTTCACTGTGTAACATCATGACATCATAATGCTGCAGGTGAGTGAATGTATGACATAATGAACTGTGTCACATGCTACAGGTGAGTGAATGTATGACATAATAAACTGTGTCACATGCTACAGGTGAGTGAATGTATGACATAATGAACTGTGTCACATGCTACAGGTGTGTGAATGTATGACATAATGAACTGTGTCACATGCTACAGGTGTGTGAATGTATGACATAATGAACTGTGTCACATGCTACAGGTGTGTGAATGTATGACATAATGAACTGTGTCACATGCTACAGGTGAGTGAATGTATGACATCATGATGAACTGTGTCACATGCTACAGGTGAGTGAATGTATGACATCATGATAAACTGTGTCACATGCTACAGGTGTGTGAATGTATGACATCATGATGAACTGTGTCACATGCTACAGGTGTGTGAATGTATGACATCATGAACTGTGTCACATGCTACAGGTGTGTGAATGTATGACATCATGAACTGTGTCACATGCTACAGGTGTGTGAATGTATGACATCATGATGAACTGTCACATGCTACAGGTGTGTGAATGTATGACATCATCATGAACTGTGTCACATGCTACAGGTGAGTGAATGTATGACATCATCATGAACTGTGTCACATGCTACAGGTGTGTGAATGTATGACATCATGATGAACTGTGTCACATGCTACAGGTGAGTGAATGTATGACATCATGAACTGTGTCACATGCTACAGGTGTGTGAATGTATGACATCATCATGAACTGTGTCACATGCTACAGGTGAGTGAATGTATGACATCATCATGAACTGTGTCACATGCTACAGGTGAGTGAATGTATGGCATCATCATGAACTGTGTCACATGCTACAGGTGAGTGAATGTGTGACATCATGATGAACTGTGTCACATGCTACAGGTGAGTGAATGTATGACATCATCATGAACTGTGTCACATGCTACAGGTGTGTGAATGTATGACAATGAACTGTGTCACATGCTACAGGTGAGTGAATGTATGACATAATGAACTGTGTCACATGCTACAGGTGTGTGAATGTATGACATAATGATGAACTGTGTCACATGCTACAGGTGTGTGAATGTATGACATAATGAACTGTGTCACATGCTACAGGTGTGTGAATGTATGACATAATGAACTGTGTCACATGCTACAGGTGAGTGAATGTATGACATCATGATAAACTGTGTCACATGCTACAGGTGTGTGAATGTATGACATCATGATGAACTGTGTCACATGCTACAGGTGTGTGAATGTATGACATCATGATGAACTGTGTCACATGCTACAGGTGTGTGAATGTATGACATCATGATGAACTGTGTCACATGCTACAGGTGAGTGAATGTATGACATAATGAACTGTGTCACATGCTACAGGTGTGTGAATGTATGACATCATGATGAACTGTGTCACATGCTACAGGTGAGTGAATGTATGGCATCATCATGAACTGTGTCACATGCTACAGGTGAGTGAATGTATGACATCATGAACTGTGTTACATACTGCAGATGAGTGAATGTATGACATCATCATGAACTGTGTCACATGCTACAGGTGAGTGAATGTATGACATCATGAACTGTGTTACATACTGCAGATGATGTCACTGACCGTGTTTCAGTTTGTCGATCAGCTCCTCGTTGTCATCCAGTTTGAGCTCGTTCACTCTGTCGATCAAACCCTCGATGTCTCCCATCCCTGAGAGGAAGGGGAGGAGTTTACATTTCCATGACAACAGGAGATACGACATAGTGCTGTAGCTTTGATATCTCTGAATAGGAGGCTGCATAAACAACACGGTCTGATCTCTCTACTTGTCGTCTGACTCAGCTGACTGAAGAGCGCGTCGGTTTACCGAGAAGTTTGCTGATAAACGGCTGCGTCTTAAACGGCTCAAAGTCATCGATGTGTTCTCCTGTTCCAATGAAGATGATCGGACTCCTGGTGGCCGCCACACTGAATACCGCAGAAGAAGAAACAAGTCAACACAACACTTACAGAGGTCACTGTGACATCACACAGTAATGACATCATGAGGAAGCAGAGGAAGACTGTCTTACGCGCTCAGAGCTCCGCCTCCTTTGGCGTGTCCATCCAGCTTGGTGACGATCACAGACGCTACATCCACTTTGTCTTTGAAGGCTTTCGCCTGAGACTCACAGGCCTGACCGATCGACGCGTCCATCACGTACACTATATTGTCTGGTTGCTATGGTAACACAGGTAAAGGAGAGCACATGGAGGAGCTGAAAAACACTGACACAGTAACAGGTAACTGAATGCACCTGCAGCAGGTACAGAACGCAGGCATGCAGAGGTGCGTTCAAGGACTCACAAAAGAACAATTTACAGACAACAAAACCAGAAAATGGTGTATTCAAGTACTGAGTTGAGTTCAGGTTCTGATGGTGTGTTCAGGTACTGATGTTGCGTTCTTGCACCGATGGTGCGTTCAGGTTCTGATGGTTTTTATTGTGTCTGTGGTATGCTCAAGTACTGGTGGTGCATTCAGGTACTCACCACAGCGTTGGACACTTGCAGCATCTCCTCAAACAGCGAGTCTTCCTGTTTGTGTCGTCCACTCGTGTCCACAATGATGATCTCAAAGTTCTCAGCTTTAAACTTCTCCACGCCCTCTGCAGCGATCACCACAGGGTCCATCTCTGTGTAACTGAACACAGAACACAGATGTGACAAACAGGTAAACGGGAAGCAAAGGTCCACCTGTCCCCCCCTGAGGAGTTACTCACCTGCCGTAGAAAGGGATTCTGGCTTTGGTGGCGTTCTGTTTCAGCTGGTCAAAGGCACCTGAAACGAAATGAAAGGAGTTGAAAGGAGTAGCATGTCGTCTCAGGTGGATAAAGGATGTTAAGTATTCTCTCAGGTGAGTTAAAGCAGCTGATTGGTCGTTTACCTGCTCTGAAGGTGTCGGCACAGATCAGGCAGGTCTTCCAGCCTTTCCTTTGGTAATAATAGGCCAGCTGCACGAAACACACAGACAGTGAGACAGCAGACAGACAGCAGGGGGCGCTACAGTGCAACAAATTTAAATACACAGTTGTGGTTTATCAACAGAGGGGGAGGGGCTTTGTCTCAGGTGTGTGATGTCACCTTGGAGCAGGTGGTGGTTTTCCCGCTGCCCTGCAGACCAACAAACATGATGACATTGTTTTTTCCTTTGGTGGGGGTCCAGGCCTTCACACCGGGGTCTACCAACTGAAACACACACACAGAACACGAATATAAAGAAAACAACATGTTTTGTCTTTTTAACAGATTTAATCATTACTTGTTAAGAAATAGTTTAAGTCAGGGATGTCAGACATATGGCCCGCGGGCCGTATCCGGGCCGACAGCAGGTTTCATCTGGCCCACGAGACGTTTTGGGAAGAAGGAGGAAATGTATTGAAAAATATTTTGAGATTTTTTTTATACGTGTTTTCCCTGAATTGCATTAAAATCTATAATGAGCAATGTAAAGGTTGATATCATGATACGAATATTAATTAGAGGGGGGACTTTGAACTATCTTCTCAGCAGGGAGTAATCATAAAAAAGACGAGTGGCCAAGCGCACGAGCTGCTCCTGCATTACGCTGGTAATACATCACATCAGAAAACAGGCTGAATACCTGAGAGAGGTGACACAGAATGCAATTTCAAGAGAGATCGAAGGAGCGATATTTCTTTAGTTTTATTTGCCCACAAGTTGCCAGAATTTTATCAAAGTTACGGGACTTAACCGCTGCACTACGCACGCATCATGACGGTCTTCAGTTCTGTCCACACTTATTACTAGTTTCTTCTGTCTTGACTGATGTAAAACAAAAGTTTTACTAATGATAACAAAGCTTCCTATGGAGTGAGCCACAAAGAGCAGCTTGTGCAAATAAAAAACAATCATCTCCGCCATGCGTAATGGCCCAGACCGTCTCCTCACAGCCAGACTAAGTGTAGGTTGTAGACACCGGCGTTGAGCCTGATGCATCTCCCGACTTATTTTACCTCTGGTTATTGTAAAAACAGTACATTAAAATGAATAAGAACTGATTTTAATTACAGATGGTTCATTTTTAGGTCACCCAGAGGTGAACGTGTTGTGTAGATCACCTAAACGTTTCAGCGTGACATCACTTCTAAATGCAGTAGCCTGCTGTTGCGCCTTTATCACCAGCTGTCATCAGACTGTGAAAATATAACTATTACTGAACATTTCATTCTAATCCAAAAACAATATCACGCACAGGCTGCCCGATCATATAGATGTCCGCTGGTTTAACCGTGGAGCAGCGCTAAAATGCTTCCTCGAATTGCGCACGGCGATGGCGCAGATTCATGGTGCATAAAAAGTCAGTGACAGAGTTAGATTACGATAGTGCGGACACGGAGAAGAACGGACTGCCAGAGTCATATCAAAAGTCGTTTAACTGAGTTTACTTAGTTGAAAAACGTGCACTCCACACGGAGCTGATCAGACTGCAGTGCGCAACGCTGAAGGATCAATTCAAGTCTGTTGGTTTGGAAACATGTTATCATTTTATAATGCCTAATACTAAAATACTCTCTCTCTCTCTCTCTCTAGTAATGCACTGATCCCAGGGCAGGTAGAATAACCTGTGTCAAAGTTTCTATAACCTTGAACAGCAATATTAAAACATAATATAATAATCTCAAACAAAACATAATTATAATTATTATCATTCATATATATGTATAATATACATAATTTCCAGGTCTGGTGAACTGACCTTGACGAGCTCCTTGAAGACGGCGTGCTGGATCATCCTCCTCTTGTTCAGACCTGAAGCCATCTCCTCCAGATCTATGGCAGACCTGCAGGGACAAAAGTCACAGAGAGCACACAGCTCACTTAGAGCTGGACCTGGTTCAGACCCTGGTTCAGGATCAGACTCTGAGTGCCCTGGTCTTAACAGAGAACCAGCGATCACACTGATTCAGTATTGACATTATCTGCCTCTAGCTCTGAAAAAAAGACCTGTGGCGATACAGACGGCGGTTAAAGATACCAATCATGAGATATCTCGATATGCAGACGATGTGATGTTCTACAAGGACCAGATACAAACTACACATCCTGACAAATTCATCTCCAGCATAAGGTGATGGCATTCCTCATGTGAAGAAGGTGTTTTAATATATGGAGCCCCATGTTTTACAATCAGGAGGGTTCTGTGACGACTTATGGACCAGACTTTAGGGGACCTTTGATAGAATGTTATCAAAGACCCTTAAATCAAAAACACTGAAAGGATAAACTAGAGGGGATGTTCCAATGTCGAGGTTAAAATATTCCTCTCTCTCTGTTTTCTCTTTCTGTCTTTCCCTTTAATTCAGTCTTTTTCAAGGTTCCAGGTAAGTGCAGATGTGTTCCAGAGTCAAACTGGAAGCTAAACCAGTTCAGCCCTCAATCATTCCACTTTGCTTCCTGTTCTACATACGGCGTATACGTCGTTGTGTTAACGTCTGTATACATTCAACGTCAACACTCGTCCTTATTTGTGTTTATGAAACATCTGTCTCTAAAAGAGGTCCACGACACGGTGTTTGTACTCACTTGACGTTCTCTCTCAGCTGTTTGACCAGTTTGATGTTTACATCGGCCTCCAGCAGAGCAGCACACACCTCCTTCAACATGGCATTCAACACCTGAGAGACAGACAGACAGACAGTTATTCGGTCATGAGCGATGACTTGAGAAGTGGTTGTTTTGGTCACATGACCTCAGTGGGTGTTACCTCTTCATTGATGATGGTGGCGTTGCTGAGTGACCTCAGCGCCGAGGTGATCTTCCTGCCCAGGTCAGCTAAAACCATGATGGCGGTCTGAGCGGATCCTGAAACAGAACCAGAGCAGTCCTCAGAACCTGTTCATCAGTGTTCTATTATCAATCAATGATAAACTGTAGGAGGGTGATCAGTCACATAAATGTCTGTGATCATCAGGTGTGTCTGTGTGCACAGCTCATGTGATGGTGGAGGATGTTACCGTGTGTTTGTGAACTGGGATCTGTGTGTGTGCGTGGAGGGGAACCCCCCTACTGAGCGCGCTCAGTGACTCAGGTCAGCTGACAGGTGATGGTCTCAGCAAGCAGCAGCACACTTCCTGTACAGAGGAGAGAGAGAGAGAGACTGGTCTCATATCTGGTAAATCGAGGGGCGTCCCAAACGGCCGTGTGGAGGTGCCTTAAAACCTCCTACCTTCTCTGGTCCAAACAAATCCAGATCATTCAGGAGCAGAATCTAAAGTTAGAAGGAGGACATACTGACTGCTGCATTGTTGTCAGAGAAGCCAGCACTTCAACATATCATGTTTCCTTAATGTCTGATCATATAGTAAGGTCACTTTATCATTTCACTCACTACACATCTCACTGACCTTTAATGTGTGTGTGTTTCAGATTATCTGCTCAGCTGATCTTCTGTCTGAACAACAGAGACGCTTGGATTACATTAAAACTGATGATTAGTCGATTAATGGTTCGAGGATCAGACTGAAACTCTTTACACATTTAAAAAAAAAAACAGAATAGTTAAACTTCATTAGCATATGATTCTAACTACAGCTTCTGATTACAGCGGAGGATCGACTATTAAACGGATCGGTCGTCTTTTAATTGTTTATCTTCCTGCTGGTGTACAGTTTTAAACACAACAACATGTCAGCTGTTTACAACATGCTAACGTTAGCTTAGCACTAACACCGTCCGCAGAGAGTGGATGTTAGCCGTTAGCTCCGTAGCTCGGTGTTAGCTGAGTGTTGGCTGCAGAGAGAGTTCACACGGACAGAAACACACAGAATAAGGTCTATGACATCAGCAGGGACACAAACAAGTGAAGTTACAGGTGAACAGAGAGTAACGGCTCGTTCTTACCGACTGTCGGTGAGTTTGATCAAACGGGAGCTGGAAAACACCGAAACTCTCCCAAAGGAACGTCATCTAATCCACACCGACCCGGAAACTGTCACAGCTACATTCTTCTTCTACGGTCCGGCCAACGGCAGCTGGACTACGCGGTGCAACAAAACACCGCCCCCTGTTGGTCGGTAACAACATCTACATATAAAATATAAATATGATGTAAATACAATCTTTTCTCTCGTCTGTTCATTTAAAGTAACTTTGTAACTTTTATGTCTTTATTCTGCATAAACAGAATATTATTGTCATGTTTTGTAAGAAGAGTTTATTCTTATTTTTCAGTCAGTCTTTCAGTCTCTGCACAGACAATTATTACAGGTGAGGGGACACCTGTCCACCTCCACCTTTATAGTGAGCGCCTGATCAAAGCGACATCATCAGAAACATTACATTCATAAAGTTTGATTCAAATATTCTTTCAGACAAACATGCCGTCTCGTCTTTGTGTCTGTTTGATTAATGTCACAGGAGCTGAAAACAAACCGGAAGCTGTTCTGAATGAAGCTGAAAACATAAAAGATCATTTCAACAATTCAACTGTTTTATAAAGTTTGTATCCAATTACGTGAAACTGTAAACAGAACATCGTTATTATTATTATTATTACTATTATTATTATTAATAATAATAATAATAATAAGAAGAAGAAGAAGAAGAAGAAAGCTCAGTTTAAATATCATACACCCATATATTTATAAAACGTTTATTTTTTAAACTTGATATAAAATCAAATACTCTGTTTTCAAACTAAAATACATATTTATGTCTTTTCCCACATTTCTTTGTTTGTATATTATTCAGTTATAATATATTCATTAAAATATCAGAATACCATCTTTAAGGTTTTTATATAATTACTGTCATGCCAACTCCAAACACAATAAAGTTTTATCCAAAAGAATAAAGTTGTTTTCTTCCGGGGTCAGACGTTTCTCTTCTTAAGGTGGTCTGAACGATCGACGCAGAAAAGTGTTGTTTTTAATCGTTAGCGTCCTTTAAGAGTCACACCTGTGCCTACGTCAGAGTGCGTCACCACCTGAGCAGGTAGACAGATGATTACATCACATATTAACAGAGGTTGATAAACGTGATGACGTGACTCTGCAGGCTCCACCTTAAACGGCAGACACGTTTCTGAGCTGCGGAGCGGAGCAGCCTCTGAACACAACACGCTGTTTGAACCTGAGTGAGTGTTTCACGCGTGAGGATGGATTTTAATGAAGCGAGGGATGAACTGAAGCAGCTGCTGAGCAGAACGGAGCCCACACACTTACAAAGACTGATCACCTGGATCCGGAACTCAGGTACACTCATCTGCTCACATCCCGGATCAGAACACGGATCAGTCTCTCTGTGTACCTTTGATCACTGTTCATTACCACATACGTGATTTATATTATTCAACACGGAAACTTTATCAGCTTGTTTCTTTCATATTTTATGATTAAGTATTGTTTAAGAATTGTGGGCGTCCTCTCTCTCTCTCTCTCTCCCGCTCTCTCTCTCTCTCTCTCTCTCTCTCTCTCTCTCTCCCTCTCTCTCCCTGCAGATGAGCTGGACGAGCTGCTGTCAGACAACAGGAAGGTGATTCTACAGAACATCTCTGAGGAGCTGAGAGAGCGTCTGCCTGCGGACGCCATGCTGCCCTCTGAGACTTCTGCATACAACACGGTAATATTACTGTTATGAAATCTGGACCAGAACCAGACTCGTGTTGAACAGGCAGAAACCTGGAGCAGAACCTTGATGATGATGATGATGATGATGATGTTTGAACTGATGATGATAATGATGATGTCACAGATGCAGCAGCGCCCTCAGCCCACGGTCCACGTGGACAGCTTCTTGTTTGATGAAGACGAGGTGGACTCTCGCTGTGAGGAGGGGACCATGAGCCGCTCGTTCTGCCTCAGCTGTGGATCCCACAGAACGGCCCCGCTCGGTCAGAACTCACATTCATCATCTTCATCATCAGCATCACACACTCAGACAGGAGAGCCGTTTCATCCTCTTCTTCTTCTGCTGTTTTTCTTTCTCTGTCTGCAGACTTCATCTCTCACTCGTTCTCCATATCAGAGCTCCAGTTTCTGTTCCAGAACGTTCTGCCCGACCTCGGTGGACGGATGCTGGTGGACGTGGGCTCCAGACTGGGAGCGGTCCTGTACGGGGTCAGTAGGAACCAGAGCATACACTACATCTGTTTACATCTGTCAGTCCGATCACTGTCCACTTATATCTACTCTTTTATATTTTGTATTTTAAGTTAAATTTAAGCTTTAAGTTGTATTTAAATTGACACTTTATTTTTTTGTTTACTTGCACTGCCTTTGAATTGCCCCCCGGGGACAAATAAAGTTTTTTGAATTGAATTGAATTGAATTGACTACAAGCAGTACATGGACTACATACAGTAAACATATCAGAAACTGAAGCTAACGTGCGAACACATACAGATAGGATTTTAACGTGTAATCAGAAACTCACTACACTCAACATTTGACTGTGTGTGTGTGTCCATGTGTCTCTGTGTGTCTCTGTGTGTCTCTGTGTGTCTCTGTGTGTGTGTGTGTGTGTGTGTGTGTGTGTGTGTGTGTGTGTGTGTGTGTGTGTGTGTGTGTGTGTGTGTGTGTGTGTGTGTGTGTGTGTGTGTGTGTGTGTGTCTCTGTGTGTACGTGCGTGTGTGCGTGTGTGTGTGTGTTTTCAGGGTTATGTGTTCAGCACGGCCTCTCAGCTCATCGGTGTTGAGCTCAGTGAAGAGTTTGTTAAACTGCAGAACGAAATCGTGATGAAATACAACATGACAGACCGAATCCAGGTAACACACACACACACACACACACACACACACACACACACACACACACACACACACACACACACACACACACAGACAGTTGGGCTTTTATTTTGAATGTGTGTCCGGTCTTAATCTGAGAGTACTTTACTTGCTGTGTGCTTTTATTTTGAAATAAAGTAAGGCCCTTTTGGTAGATGGAAGCTTAGGACAGGAGTGGTTAGGTATCCCAGACTGAGGTCAAACAGCTCAAAGGAACGGTAACAAAGGTCAGTGCATGATGTCATCAGGTGGTTATTACTTTGGACTCGTCAGCTGAGCTGTCTGAGAGTTTGTTGAAGTGAGATGAGACATTCAAAGATGCAGCAGTGTCCTTCTTTTACATCACTGAGACTACAGGGAGACACTGAGAACGACTCTCTACGGTGAGCCTGAAGGGACAAAATAGTATGAGATTAACCAAGACTCGTTAACGCTGATTACAACTGTATTAATCACAACCTGTCTGACCATTAAACCATTAACACCAGTAGAACCATTAAAGTGTTCCTGAAGGTCTGGTCTCCTGCAGGTTCTCCACTCTGACGTCTGCCTGCAGAACGTTCTGCTGCAGAACGCAGACGTTCTCGTCATGAACAACGTGTTCGAGTTCTTCATGGAACCGTCACAACAAGTCAGGTCAGGCACACAACAATACACACACATACTGACACACACACTGACTCACACACACACACACACACACAACAACAACACACTGTTTATTATCAGCTTCTCATCAGCTGCTCCAACTTTGTGTGTGTGTGTTCAGGGCGTGGAGGTTCATCATGGAGAACTTTAGGAAGAAAGGATCTCTGCTGGTCACAGTCCCCAGTCTGCAGGAGAGTCTGAACCCTCTGCAGGTAACACACACACACACACACACACACACACACACACACACACACATAGATGAAGAGTCTTGGAGACGTCATCTGATTCACAACCACAGAGAAATCACTTTCTTCCTGTGTTTGTCCTGCAGGAGGCGCTGCAGCCCGGCTGGGTGGAGGAGCTTCCTGTGGACTATGATGTGTACCTGGGCAGAGACTCAGACCCAGACTCTCTCAGACTGATCCACCTGTACAGAGTCCTCTGACCTGGACCAGTCTGAACATCAGGAGAGAAAACTCGTGAACTGTTCTGGATCAGGAATCTTCTCAGACTACAGATCTACTGTTTGTCGGTCTGGATTGTTGTCATATATTAAGATGGACGGTGCAACAGCTTCCAAGGAGTGAAGCCAAAACATTCAGCCCTCCCCCTTCTGACCGGCTACAGTGGAGGTCATGAGCTCCGCCTCCTCCATGTTAACAGATGGGACAGAAGTTGAAACATGTCAGATAGCTGTTTCTCTAACATGGTTTCAGTCATGCTGTTTTATGTCACAGTGTTCATGAATCGGAGAAGTTTAGTTTTAATTGATGATGTAAAAAGGTGCCATGATTGACAGCTGTGTTGACCAATGAGGCTCCTGCAGCGTCTGGAATATCAGAGGTGAGAGGAAACTTAACGAACATCTACTTTCAATAACTGTGTTCGCTTCAAACCGAAGCCCTAAACCTGTGGACTGAACCCACCTGAGTGACCTTTGACCTTTGAGCAGGAAGTTAAAGGCGTGTTTGATTAGTAGAAGGGGCGGGGCGTTGATTCCTCCCTTCTGTGAATGTCCTGGCTCCAAATGACATCACCTGTCACATGGGTATTTTGGCTTTACATTTGTACAACAGAAGGACAAGAAGATGTGTTGTGTTTAGAAGCAGAAGAGACCATATTTAGACAAGAGGGCGGAGTTTCCCTCGCTCCCCTCTAGCTCTGCCCTCTTAATATGGTCACTTCCGTAGACAAAACATTCTAACTGAAAGCATGAACAATCATTTTCTCAGCTTCTTTTAGTACAACCAAACTAAGAGCAAGAATTAGATAGCCCAGATAGCCCCGCCCCTAACTTCTCCCCTCTTCCTGGTCTCTTTGACTCTAATTGGACCATACTTAACTAAATGAACATCATGCTGTGTTGAAGAAGACTTGAAACTAGAGATTGAGACCATAAACTTGTGAGAAAAATGTTTAGTGAGGGAATAAATCAACATTTGATCAGAGATTTAAATACAATCAGACCCTCCCCCCCCCCGCTGGACACTAGAAGTACTACAGAGACGTTACCGACTTATTTGTGCAATTTTGACAGCTTTCTTGTGATACATTAATTTGTCTCTTGCACACCTGTCCGATGATGTCATTTAAGAAAAAGATGTCTGTCATTTAAATAAATAATAAAATAATAATAAAAGTCAAATAAGTCAAATCTTCTCAAACATTGGATAATAAATAATCTTCAAACAGCTGATTTGATTTACGCTCTGATGACACAGCTCCTCTTCCTCCTGCTGTCACTCACTCTGCGTCATCAACCTTCTAGTCACCACTTCCTGCCGTTAACCCCTCTGACGTCACCGCCCCCGTTCCATCACAGCGGTCTGCCTTGCACACACGCAGCGCGAGCGTTTCCGCGGCAAACATTGGCTGGACAGGAGGAGCGGCAGGACGGCCGGCCAACCGACGCTGTGGAGGACGGTGAAGCCCCGCCCACTCACTCACTGCTCATGGTGCGTTCAGGGGGCACGCCGCTAATTGGAAACGAATAAACTGTCAATCACGCAAACGGGACACACGAGACAAAGACTTCATGTGGAAGATTTCCGGTTTTCATGTTGTTGTTTGTATTTTGGAATTATTTCAGATTTGTAAAGGTGAGTAAACAGACTGGCGGTAAACTGTGACTCAGCTGTTTCTAACTCTCAGTACAGAAACACTGATGTGTTGAACATCTGAAGAGTTATGATTCCAGCAGGCAGACATACACACACACACACACACTCAGTTACACACACACACTTTCTCTCTTCTTCGTTGGTGTCATGTTGATTTATGGGACTCCATTAAAGTGTTAAAACTCAGAAATCATTATTTAAATGTTTATTAGTTATCCTAATTATGGAGGTTTTTAAAACAAAGACGGGCGATGAGAAGAAAAACTAAAAACAAACACAGAAGCTCCATTTACACAGGACCCCTGAAAGACCCAGTACATAGACCCTGAAAGACCCAGTACATAGACCCAGTAACTGTTCTCTCCTCTCTAGACAATCGCTTGTGTTGTACTCACTCTCTGATGTTCATTACTTTGGATAAAGATGTCTTCTTAAAGAATTGTAGGTGATGATGATTTTTTTTGCTGACTGCCTCATTTTAGAAGACTTTGTCTCCTGCCACATTTGGCTGAGGAAGATCTTTAGGATCAAAACATTGCCCTGTTTAAAATAAAGTCCTTTATTGGGAGCTGAACAGTGTGTGGACCTTTGTCCTTCTTTGAATATATAACAACTTTTACGTCATGTCTTTCAACTTTGATTCACTAGTATGTGGCTGAACAATTAAATTTCTGAGCGCACACTCTTTCTTTTATAACAAATAGTTTTCCCATTTCCCCCCTTTTGAGGGCGGCATTTGTTACCATTAAATAAAGTTGTATCTGAGAAACATTTTCACACTGCAGTCTGCTTTTTTATTGCAAGCAAAAACTAAAAAAAAATCATCATCTGGGGAACATTTCATGTTTAAACTTCAGTGTATAGAAGCCGGTATGAATTAGACCCTGTGGTTTCCGAGCTCTCAGCGGGTCCGTGAAGTGGTTTAAAACTTGGTCAACAAGCCGCCAGTGCGAGCGGCTCCGAGCCCGGGACTACTTCTTCTACTCTCATCCTAACGGCGGATTATCGCTTTATCGTTACACAACTCGGTAACTGTCGCCGCTGCCGGTGTGTGTCGTAGTGTGTGTGTGTGTGTGTGAGAGAGAGCGAGAGCAGAGTGTGTGTTTCCATTGTTGTGCAGTAAACGGAGAGTGTGTGAGCGGCTCATCTCCATGTGGGCAGATTATCACCGAGTCTAACAAAAGACCCGCGCCGCTCCGCACGCGCTCTGCTCGGTGTTTCGGCCGCTTCTCCCGCCTCAGGGCTTCCGTTAAAGTGTACCGGGGGAGTTTGTGTGAGTTTAGCGGGAGTTTGTGTGCCCGGTTCGGTGTTTCTAAGCCGGTTTCCCTCCTTTTTTTTCCCCCCACAGAGCTCTGTGGACGCGGAGCTGAGAGATGCCGCTCCTCCACAGGAGAGCCTTCATCCGGCACAGACCTCCGGCTGACCTGCGGCCGGACGAGGAGGTTTTCCTCTGTAAGATCACCCACGAGATCTTCAGAAGCTACGAGTGAGTACCTGAGAGCTCACCTGGCTCACCTGAGAGCAGTCTGAGATCTTCTGACTGACAGTCGGCTGGAAAACTTCCAGACGCGACAAACAAAAGCAACTTTTTCAGAGTGTGAATAGAAGTTTACTGAGCTGAAAAAAAAAGGTGAAAGTGTGTAAATACGGAGAGGATACAGCTCCAACAGATTCCTGCTGTCAGATAGGGGGTCCAAACACCTCGAGGACAGGTGTACTGTTAGCTGAAGTGAGCTAGCCGCCTGAGCTAAAGTGAGCTAGCCGCTGTTAGCCGTGTGAGCTAACAGTGAAGCTGTCAGTCGGTTAGCTCAGCTACTTTTAGCCGTTAGCTGAGACCAACAGGCCCGCGGACACTTCACCTGCTCAGGGTCACTTAAAGGAACACTCACCTGTGTGACGTAGGCCAGTTGACGTCAGAGAGCCCTCCCAGGTGGAGTGTGACATCACACAGGTGAATAAAATGTCCTCCTGTGTGTGTGTTCAGCCATCAGCTGTTCAGAGACTGAAAACTCCTCTAACATGAAATCAACATGAACTCTCCTCTAACTTAAAACAACTCACAGCTTGTGTTTACTTCATTAAATTAACTTCAGGTACACAAACATGAAGTGACATCTCAGTACCTCATATCAGTAAAGTTATAATTAATACAATCTGTGGTTCTAATGATCAAAAAGTGTGGAAGCTTTTAAACATTCACTTCTCTCGGCCCTCGATGTGAAATATGACCTCAGGTTCATGTAGGACGGCTCGGTAATGTCAGAAATCATCATCGCGATTATTTTTAACTGATAATTGACTAAACCTTTGGAAAAATGAGCGAAGCTGCGTGCAGCTCAGTCATCGTTTAATCTTGATTGTCTCGTGCTCATCATTGTGGGATCCCGATGGAGACGACATGTTAACGAATCTTTGACAAAACATCAAACTTTAAAATATTCTTTGAGTCAAGTGAAAGTCTCAAAATGTAAAAGAGATCTGGTGATCGTCCTGTGATGACTGTCACTGAGTTAATAATCATCATATAAACAATTTGTAAATATTAATAATAATAATAAAACAAACTGACGTCTCCTTGTTCAGACCTTACAACGTCACAAACTGTCTGAGCTGCTAACTGAAGAACTCCTTCACACAAACAGAAAATCTAAACTTTAGTCTAATAATGGAAGTCATATTCTCAATACTTGAGGTGCAAACAGAGACGGTCTGACCTCTCTTTCATAAGACAGGTGTGCTGGAGAAGAACAAAATCATAACAGAGTGCAGGTAAACTCGTGCTCTGTGTCTGAACTGCACAAAAACAACATTTTTTACCAGTAAGTCGGAAACGCTTATGTACAGTTTAGAAAGTCTGCAGGAGATTTTCCTACAACGTTGTCTGAAAACTTAAAATCAGAAAAATGACCAACATCGGGTCTCAAGGACTTGTATATCTGTTGCCATGGTAACAGACAGAATCATGTCACAGTTTAAAGGTCTGATTTAAAGACTGTTCCATGCTACAGTTTTTAAAGGTATTTCCCATCTTTGTGTCTGACAGGAGGTATCACTCCTCTCATTTTCCCCTCTAATCTCTCCTCAGTGAGTTTTTCGAGCGCACCATCCTCTGCAACAGTCTGGTGTGGAGCTGCGCTCTGACAGGGCGAGCAGGCCTGACTTACCTGGAAGCGGTGGAGAGCGAGCGGCGGGCGAAGCAGAGCTTACAGAGCTTTCCAACATCACTGGTGGTTCCTCTGCTCCACCTGGCCGCTCTGAGCCACCGCTGCAGACTGTCGGAGCTCTGCGAGGACGTCTACACCTTCGTCAAAGACCGCTTCTTCCCCGGAGAGACCGTAGATGTCTCAGTACGCAATGGAGCCAGGTACTTTAACAGTGCACCTGGTGTGTCTGTGGGTTAAAAAAATCATCTTCCTCTTGAACCAACATCTCTGCAGGAATCCTTCCTGTAGTGTTGTCAGAATACTTAGTTAAGTAAAAGAGGAGGCCTGGGTTTGAGGTAAAAGGATTCCTCAGACATGCTGCAGGACATGAAGGTGAACGATGTTCTGCTGAGGAGATTTAGTGTTTAAAATAACAACATGAAGATCTGTCACGGAGCAGAGAACTCAGCATGTTGTGACTGCAGGATGTTTGTCCAAGCAGCTGTTGTGAATGTGTGAGTCGATTCTGTGGAGTCATCAGCAGCTCTGTGTGTGTGTGTGTTTGCAGACATGTGTGCGAGATCCTGCAGGTTAACTCTCCTCATTCCAGCGCTAACGGAGCGCCAGCCGTTAACGGCCATGCCAAACCAGCTGAAGGTGACACTATTGTCATCAGCGACAGCGACGAGGAGAGCAAAGACTTCCAGAGCCCCACAGCACAGGTCAACGGGTGAGTATGTCAAAGTTCATCAGCTTTAAGGGTGCCAACATTTTCAACACTTTACTTTTTGATACTGCGAGTTTGAAATGATACGAGTTCAGGAGGTTGTTTGAAACTCTTGGCCATTAAAAATAAATGATCCAATATCTGGTGTTTAGGACTTGTCTTTCTGTTGCCATGGTAACAAACGGGTATCGCATTCGTGTGTGTGTTCATGTGTCAGCAGGAAGAAGAAGTCTCTAAACCCGTCAGTGTTTAAATACACAGTGAGGATGATGAAGGACGAACACAGCGAGCCGTTCACTGTGAAAGCCAACCAGCTCAGGTGAGGAGGTTCACCTGTATCCTGTGACATCACACTCACTGGCTGTGTGTGTACTTTAAATAAATTTGTGTTGTTTTTGGATAAATCTGGTTGTTGAGGTAATTGATCAGTTGGTTCAGTTTCCTCTTGTAAACATTATAACATGTGGTGCTTTTATTTTGAAGGTGGACAAACTGAAGTGTGGTGCTTTTATTTTGAAGCTGGACAAACTGAAGTGTGGTGCTTTTATTTTGAAGCTGGACAAACTGAAGTGTGGCACTTTTATTTTGAAGGTGGACAAACTGAAGTGTGGCGCTTTTATTTTGAAGGTGGACAAACTGAAGTGTGGTGCTTTTATTTTGAAGCTGGACAAACTGAAGTGTGGTGCTTTTTTTGAAGGAGGACAAACTGAAGTGTGGCGCTTTGTATTGATGAGCTGTTGACTCAAATCTCAACACTCAGAGGCTCTTCAATAAACGGCTCGCCACGAGCTGAATAACGTTTTTTTGTCAAAGGTCAACATCTCAATCATGATGTGGATATTATTAATGCAGCGTTAGCTCCACTTTGTACAACAAGCTCTGCTGAGGGAGGAGAGAGTCAGTACCTTGTAGAGACCCCTCCTTTCACGTTCCTTATCCGTCTACTGGAGCGACAGAGGAAAATAGAAACACAGCTCGCAGGCGTTTAGGTCACTCCAACAGAAAACAGTAGAATCAGGCTGCTTTTGTCGTCACGTGCTGTCAGGACAGGCTGTCATATAAACAATCTGAATGTAATGTCTGCACTCTGGAATGTCTACATGAATACTTGATGAACAAACAAGCTGACTGATCATTTAAACCTGTCAACAGCTCGCTGTCCTGTCTTCAGCCAGTGTTAGTGATCTGAGGAAACATTCTGCTTCTGTGTGTGTTCAGTCGCAGGAAGACCCTGGTGTCCCGAGAGAAACTGAAGCTGCTCTTTAAGCAGCACTGTGAGCCACAGAACGGGACCATCGCACTGAAGGTGACGCACATACCCGCCTCACATTACACTTAGTATTCATCTTCAACTGATTTACCAAAACAAGTTCTTTTCTTAAGCCGTTTTCACATATGCACTCCGGAAAATATCTAACGTCATTCTCTTTCATTGGCTGAAATTGAAATCTCCGGAGAATATTCGGCCGTGTTCAGACATCAGCTCACTCGGATATTCTGTGGATAAAATACTAGGGTCTGGCCGGATAAACTCCGGGTAAAGTCTGTACGAAAAATGCAGCTGTTAGCGTTCACATATAGCCTAAAGAACCTCCGGGTAGCCAAATCTCCGGAGTTTTTCAGGAGATTTCCGTATGTGTGAAAAGGGTTTTATTGTCACATCGTCTGATGGTGACTTCCGGTGTTCTGACGGTGACTTCCTGTGCTCTGTGTGTCTCAGTCCTCCACAGTGATGAAGTACGGACTGTCTGAACAAACATTCTCTCAGTTCTTCCCTGATGAGCCCCCC